ACTGCTTGCAGGATTTAGTGCTACTCGAAACTTGATTAAAGCCAGCTAGCAGCAAGGTTTAATGTGACATCCAGCTCTCCAATTTAGGTCTATGTTTGCTAATTTAAAGCTCCAGTTTGAGAATGTTAGTTTTAAAAGCTTTAACAAAGCTGCCCGAAGCTTCTGGAGAGCTTTGCTGTATGCACTGCTCATACACAAGACTGAAGCCTGTGTGCACAAAGCAGATAAAAAGGTGCAAACACTAGATGCAGGTAATTCAACCCGCAGGTCTCTACACAAACCTGATCGATGTTGGTTTTACAGACCCTTTTATGGTATATGAAATATTATCCACCATTTAAAAAGCCGATTTGTACCTCCACAGGGATCACACCCTCTGCTACATAATTTTTACTCAATGAGTATAAGGCATGGGTACAAAAGAGGGTGCTATAGCCCCAGTGTATAAAACAGGTCAATGGACATAGAAACTGCTGAGATGACATGGATAAAGGACAAAAACACAGAAGGTTACGAGAACAGTGAGGGTTTACAATATGGGAGACCAAGGTTGGTCATACAAGGTATATTTCCAGCATCACCTGTGATCATTGGGCTGTGCAGAAGTAGGTACTTCTAATCTGCAGAGCCACTCTTACAGCAGAATAAATATTTTAATCAGTACTGGAACGCAGCTTCTTTTCTTCCTGAGAAGGTGCTGGATTTTCTATGTAGTGGTAGATAACACACCCTGTCTTACTAACCATGTATGACCAGCCTAGGATAAAAGACAGCATGGTCTGATTAGAATGCCTTCCTCTGCTCTGTTTCCTCCCATCACATTTTTGTTGTTCTCTGTGGCAGTGGCTGCCAGCAGACACAAGAGAAGCAAATCGGGAAAACCATCTGCTTTTCTGATGCCCATTTTTTTTTAGAGGCCGTGCTATTAGAATACACACAAGCCAATGACAGCATCTATTTAGAATACATTATTACTTGTATCACTGGAATCTTCATTTTCAACAGTTACAAGTGCTAGTACATTTTTCTGGATTTTTTACCTCTGTGTAGCTCCCCCCCACACCTCAGTAGTGTGTCTATTAAGAGCTGCAGTAATATATTGACCGGCAGGTAAAATCACATCATGCAGCAGGGAGATGCAGGTATTTGACACACTAGGAAGTGTTGGGTGCTACAGATTCTATCAGCACCTCAAGTGAAGAGACACTGCACTATGGATCAGGGCTGTGGATAAGGGGGTAACACCAGTCCTCCTGTACTTGGCCCAGGCAGCTGGGTAAATCACATGTGTCAGGGAAGGGAAGGAATGGGGGGGGGGGGGGGGGGGTAGTGCAATTACTGGAATCAATCTCCTGTATGGCTCTAACTGCAGCAGCTGAAAGCTGGCCTTTTTTTCCTCCTCCTCCGTGATGGCTTTCAGCTGCAGCAGAGTCATACAGGGGATTGGCTCAAGTAATTGCTGCCCTGCCACACCCATCACCCTCCCTATGCACCATACTTTTCCCCCCTGCTGACCAGCCCCCCCCCCCCCCCCCCACAGTGCTTCTGGCTTCTCTCCTTTCCTTCCCACCAACAACTGCAAGCACATAATAGGATCCTTCAGGATGGAGAGTGCCATACGTGGCAGTGTCACATTTCCCAGCCCCTCCTGAATGAACACAATGAGTGATCGGTACTGCTGACTCACTGTATTCATTCCTACCTGAAGCATAGTCAACTGGTTTTTTTTGGGGAGGGAGGCCCTGTCAGGTTGGTTGTATGGGGCCCCATTGTTTCTAACAGCAGCCTTGGTGTGGATACACAATTTTGATGTGTAGATTAGCACCGGACAGTTTACTGAGGTGATGCCAGGTAGCTGGAACCCAAGGCTGAAGGGTCCAAAGGGTGGATTTGCTAAATGGACTAAGACTGCTCAACTCCTGGAGGAATAGAGGAGGATACTGGTTCATCGGTAGTGGGTGATATTCTCTGGTGCCATTTACCTGCTCTCATTTAAACTGAACTGGAACATGCCAGGGAGCCTAGAGTACTCGGAAATCAGCTCCAGAGTCTATACAGTTTTTTCAGTCAAAACCATTTCTAAACACCTTTTAGAAGGGGATAAACTTAACCCTGAAACGTGTTGGCAATACTTTTTCTGACCACTAGATTTTGGATCTATACGATGAATCCTTGTGACGCTCTGTATGAGGCACTTGTCACCCAACACATATGAAGAGAACTGTGGGGCAGATTTACTAAAACTAAAGCACTCAGAATCTGGTGCAGCTGTGCATGAGAGCCAATCAGCTTCTAACTTCAGCCTGTTCAATTGAGCTTTGGTAATAAAACCTGGAAGCTGATTGGCTTCACCATAGTTGCACCAGATTTTTGCATCCTCCAGTTTTAGTAAATAACCCCGTGTCTGTTTAAGACAGGCTCTGCACAGAAAACCAACAGCGTCCCATCATCTTGTTAAGCACATAAATGTGACAAGAGAGTTTCAGAACTGCAGATGGCCAGGTGAATCAAGCCTCAGTACATGAGATGGCAGTGGAAGAGGTAGGTTACAGCTATAAATGGGAAAGAAACTGCAGCAAGTGGAGATTTGGAACAGTCCTGGCATTCTTGTATTGGTTGGATAACACTTTATAGTGCCAGTAAAATTAAATCAGTTTCAAGATTTACAAATGTATATGAAAAAGTTCTAATACCTCTACAAATGTTTGGTGTAGTTTTGTCATTGCCGACATCATTACCGAAAAAAAAAAAAAGAAGGAAACTGCCTGGCTCCACTGGTTATTGTCTGTCTTAAAAATGCATAGGTAAAGGTGTTCAAGACTTGCACAGTTGTACATCTGTACTAAAATTGCTTACTCTCATTTCACTGCACACTGAGTTTCCCACATCATACAATAAAAACTGAAACAAGTCAGACAGAGTCTATCTTATCTCCTGGCTGGAGGATGTCCAGCATCATCTAACTCTTTCCTCCCCAGCCTGAATGTCCCTAATCCACCCCTATCATTCATTGGATTTCAGTTTTTTCAATCATGAAGGCTCAGAATCACATGTGGTCTTTACCTAGGTCAGTCTGCATTCAAATGCAATCTGCCTAGGAACACCCACTCCCCCAGTGACATCCAACTATCAAGGCATTTTGATATGCCTTGACTGCAAGTTTCTTTATTTCTTTAGAACTACAGCTTCCTGCACTCCTGATTTCTGGACAATCAGGGAAGTGAAATATTAGAATAAGAAGTCTTGGGATGGGGTGTTACAGTAACATGCTACATGTTACAACCTGAATATGGGTGTAACATGTTACGAAAGGTGATCTTATCCTTTAAAGCAGATTAAGAGATTTGCTGAGCAGAAGACCTGATGTACAGAGATCTCTCCATCTCTTATCTCCCACTTGAGGCTAAGCAACAGCCGACTGGAGGAAGCCAGCTGTGGGTCAGAAAATACACCATGATACCAAAAAGATGTGGACATCTGACCATTACATCTACTTACATGATGCCCCCCCCAAATGATTGGATTCAGGTGTCTCCGGTGAAGGGCACTGTTAATACTACAGAACACAAAAGATATTTTAGACAAATATGAATTTCCATTCATGTGGTAACCATTTGGGGAAGATCTTTATCAGCTCCAGTATAACTGTGCCCATGTGTACAGTCAGCTCCATAAACATATGGTTTGACCAGTTTGGTGTGGACGATCTAGAGTGGCCTACTCAGAGCAACGACCTCAACCCTACTGAACACCTTGGAGTCAATTTGAATGTGGATTGTGAACTGAGCCTTCTTATCCAACACGGTGCTGAACAGTGGCTTGGTGGTTAGCACTGGAGACCTAATTCAAATCCAGGCCAGGGCACTATCTGCATGGTGTTTGCATGTTCTCCATGTGCTTGCATGGGTTTTCTTCCACACTCCAGAGCAGCCTCTCTCAATCAGGGTGCCCAGGCACCCTGGGGTGCCTTAAGGTTTCTTCAGGGGAGCCTTGGCAAAATGTCTAAAAATTGCCCAAAACTTGTAAACAAGCCAGCGGTTTTCATTGTGCACCATTACGACCTTCTAGCCGTCTGTGTCCTGACAACCAATGACATCATCAGTTGACTGATGATGTCAGTTGACTGCACAACATCCTTGTTTGACCCTCCTCTGCCCTTCTCCATCAGTGCTGGGGTCACGTTAGCTGAGTGATGGAGAAAAACTGAGGGAGAAGAGAAACACTGGAATACTAGTCAGTACCAGTGTGCAAAAGTGTATTTGCTTTGGAAGAATAAATCACCTCTAATGTTGGGTGTCCTTCATGTGTGGATGTTGCTGCAATATATAAAATGATTAGAAAAGTTTTTCACATTTTAGAATGGGGTCCCTTAAGACTGTCCATAATTTTAAAGGGTGCCTCGGGACTGTCCATAATTTTAAAGGGTGCCTTGACTGAAAAAAAAGGTTGAGAAACACTGCTCCAGAGACATGCTGGTATATAATTAGCCCTTACATTTGTTTACGTGAGATGGGACCTAGATTACAAGCTCCTTGAGGGCAGGGACTGATGTGAATGTATAGTATGTAGAGCACTGTGTAAATTGTCGGTGCTATGTAAATGCTTGTATTAAATAAATATCAGTATCTGACTTCACAAATGTTCTTTTGTCTAGACAGCCACAAACTCCCACAGACACACTCCACAATCCATGGAAAACCTTCCCATAGGACTGGAGGTTGTTATAGCCACAAAGGGAGGATGGAAACTCTATATTAATGTCCATGATGTCCAACAACTTCATTTAGATGTGGGGGTCAGGTGTCCACAACCTTTTTGGTTAAGGAATAAATCTCTCCATGGGATCAGAACTTCAGTATTCACAGCCTTGATCACCATGACATATAAAAGTTATCAACAGCCTTTACAAATGTATAAGAGCCAGGAAGAAATGTGGATTTACTGTCTTAAAAATACCAAACAATTGGTGGAGATGAGTGAAGCCTGAGAGTCTGCTGGGGCTATCTTGTTTTCTTCTCATCGTCTGACTGGTCAGATCCTGTATCAGAAACATGTTTCACAACGCATCTTCTGGGGAACCAGCCCCGAACCCTGAGTCCATCTGGAAAGAATACAAGTAGTTTGTTATAGCTGTAGTGTAATGTACACGTAAAATACCTTCCCTTCTTCCCCCTCCCCCTGATTAATATGCAATTAACTTTTACAATCAAATAATTTAATTATCAAGAAATACCTATTTTGAGACCCAGTGATGACATCACTGGGTCCTTCTGTTAGTCTTTTTTTTGCTGTAGCATGATCACGTTTGTTGGGAGCGTCTAGCAGCCTCCAGCTCCCTGCCTTGAGCGCTATATAACAGAACACATCCCCAGCATCCCTTTACACTCTTTAGCTGTACAATCTGATCAGTTGCTTGATTACAATCTCCCAGGATTTAGCACTGGGTCTTCCTTCCAGCATATGGCTGTCAACACCTCTGTGTTTCATCCAGAGTGCTGGCACCATGGCCAATCAAGGGGCAGTTCTTCTGAATGGTGCATCTTTATATTCTGAAGCAATGCATGGCTTGGCATTTCAGCAACATGTCACTATGCCTTAGCAAAGCCTACTGCTGCTGTTACGAATTTGCAACCCCATGCCATCTACAGTATATGCCTTTGCCTACCACCCTCCAATGAGCCCCTCCAGCGCTCCGTGACTCCAGATGTGCTCTGTGGCCCTTGTGTTTACAAAAGCACCCCTGTGCCTCCAGTGTGCTCCCATGCACCTCTGTGACACTGGTGTCTCCATGCCACCTCCAGTATGCTTTTGCATCATCTGGACTGTGCTTCTCCTAGTGCAGGGGTAGGCAACCTGCGGCTTTCTAGCTGTTGTGGAACTACATTTCCCATGAGGCATTGCAACATTACAAAACTGACAGTTACAGCTATGACTTGCAGAGGCATGATGGAACTTGTAGTTCTGCAACAGCTGGAATGCCGCAGGTTGCCTACCCCTGTCCTAGTGGATACGCACCTCTGTCCATGACAGTTACGCTTTGTAGTTGTCTGGCCTGCAACGCTCCACCATCAATACCTCTTCACCCTTAAGTAAGTGGATACAGGCCGCTGTCCGCAACACCTTAACAAACCAAAATAAACACCAAGCTACTTTTTTCGGTTTTCAATTGATAAAAAATACCCACCTTGTGAAAAGTCATCACCCTCAAAGATTTTGTCTCCATACATCCAGTGCCTGCAAAAAACACAAGACTTAAATGACTACCCCACTAAGCACTATGTAGCTCTAATGCAACAGCATGACAAAGAAACCATTAGAAAAAAAAATACAAACCTTTCTAAAAAAAAAAAAATATATAATGTTACGTAGTCCTAATACTTGTCAGCACACTTCCAGGCCTAGGGAGACAATGCTGCTCCTGTACAGATATGAGTAACTAAGCGTTGCCAGCCTAGGCCCTTCCTGACCAACGACACCACAAAACAACTTATCCACGACTTGGTTATATCCCGTCTTGATTACTGCAACTCCCTCCTCACTGGTCTACAGTTACACAGGCTATCCCCCCTTCAGTCTATTATGAATGCTGCTGCTAGACTCATACACCTTACCAACCGATCAGCGACTGCTGCCCCTCTCTGCCAATCCCTTCACTGGCTTCCACTAACCCAACGTATAAAATTCTAAATACTAACCACAGCTTACAAAGCCATCCACAACACTGCCCCTAGCTACATCACCAACCTCATCCACAGATACCGCCCAAATCGCCCACTCCGCTCCTCCCATGATATCCTCCTCTCTAGCTCCCTCATCACCTCCTCCTACGCTTGCCTCCAGGACTTCTCCAGAGCCTCTCCCATTCTCTGGAACTCCCTACCATAGTATGTCCGGTCAGCCCCCACCCTGTCTGCCTTTAGGCGATCTTTGAAAACTCACTTATTCAGGGAAGCCTACCCCACCTCCACCTAAGAACTGTGCTTGAATCACCTCCGTCAGATCATCCCCCGCAGTTATCACCTTTTGTATCACCTCCCCCTTCCTTTAGATTGTAAGCTCCACGAGCCGGACCCTCCTATTCCTTCTGTACTGAAATGTATTGTAATTGTACTGTCTCCCTTATATTGTAAAGCGCTGAGCAAACTGTTGGCGCTATATAAATCCTGTATAATAATAATAGGCCAGCAACCATGTTACTGGTAGGATCACCCTATGAAAATAAAGGGAGGGAAAAAAGGCAGATACCATATCCAAGGATGGATAAGCTGAAACAGATCGCATTTTCGATTTTTGGCAAAATCATGAGTTACTCATTAACATTTACCATAAAAAGAGACTACTAAGACATGGTATAATTCTACTGGATATACCAAGTAGTTGCAAAGATATGCACAGTTTTATAAATAAATGCCAAAACTGCAAAACTAGGTTCACGCATAAGGCTAGGTTCACATAGATGCATATGATTTTCCTCCTGGTTTTAGTGCAATTTCAAGGAGTGGTTGTTCAGTGATTCAGGTGCCATTCTGATGCGGTTTGGCAGCATTCTCAGCAAATCTCTCGCTCTCTCTTTTTCCTGACATGGACCAGGGATGGGAGAGAAGGAACAAAGCAAAGACTGGCAGAAAACTACTGGAATCGTGTTATCTTAGCACAGATAAGCGATTTCCATTCAAGTCTATGTAGAGCACTGCACTAAACCCACACAGAACCCATTTTTAAAATCGCATCAGAATCACACTGCATATATGTGAACGGCCTCCATAGAAACCCATTTTATTTTTCGTTTGTTATGCGATTTCATGCATTCTGGAACACACCAGCAATTGCATCAGTGTGAGCCAGGGCTAAAGGTTTCCTTTCTACATTAAGGGGTTAACTTCTATCAAAATGGATCTCCTTTTTTTTGGGTGGAGTTACCCTGAATGGATCAAAACATACTTCAAGCCTCGAGTGGCCAAGACAAGCTCTCCTTTCTTCAGCTTCATCCGTGGCTCCTCCGTGCATGGGGTGGTAAAGAAGGTTCGAATACCTTTGGTTATAGGGCAGCATGCGCCACTGAAGTTCTCTACAGCTCTGTATCGTACCTGGAGGAAGTGCAGAAAGGTCAAATGAAATACAGAATCATAAAAAAAAAAAAAAAAAAAACCACAATAGCATTTGAAATATAACTTAACAAAACATAGTCATCTCAACACCAAATAGCCCCTGTACTTAGGAGGTTGTCCCCTCAGAGGACCTCAGGAGTGACAAAGAGAGAGTTACATGGTCTGAAGAAATCTGTAGCTGAGAGGGAAACCTGAACTGCTCATATCACATCCAAACAGTGTAGGAAAATCTTCGGAGACACAGGAGTCTGACTTCCATCTCTCTGTCAATGTCCTGACTAGAAGAAATGTAAAATCAATCTTAGAAGAAAGGAGGCTCTAGGCTTCAAGACAACCTTTGTGGAGAACCAAAAAGGGCCCTTTACAAGATAAGGCTGCTATTTCAGACACTGGTATAGTATAAGTGATTGCAACAAGAAAGGCCACCTTGTCAGTCCAAGTAGACGGGAATATCTCTGATGGGTTCGAAGAGTGATCTTTGAAGAGCTAAGCTAACAGATGTTAAAAGGAGAAGTATGACCCAGAGGGTGGACTGACCATTCGAGCACTCGGGAACTGCCAGAGGGCCGGGGGTCAGTAGAGGGCCCCATGAAATGCCCCTGGTACCTTTTATAGGCTTTTTTGGGTGTGCTTTGAGTATGGGCAAGGACATAGGGGCCCCATGATCCCCTATTGCCTGGGGGCCCCATGAGTTGTCAGTCCGCCCCTGGTATGACTAAAGCTTTTTTGGCCATACCTCTCATTTGGGTCACAGAAGTGCACTTAGTTCTGCACTGCTGTGACCCAGATTCATTTGACAGTGGTCTAAAGAAGTATTAAACCCAAAAGCAAACAATTATTATATTGCATATTACCAATTCTTAGGTGTGACAGTTGCATTCATTTGTTAGGCTCTTTTTCTTAATATGGTGATTTAGCCAGTAAGTCTGTTGTATTTCAAAAGAACAAACTCTCTTGCAGATGTATCAAGTTGCAGGCACGAGACAAACCATTTAACAATGACAGGGGTGCTTATATTTATGCAAAACCTTTAATACAAAAGGAAAAAAAACTGTTTGCTATAACTGCTTTTAAAAGTATTAGTAGCTTGGCTTCAAATTGTTAGTGTATGTAAATCTGATAGTACATCCGACACCCCCCTTTTCCTAGACTGACAATGCTGCTGTCAGCATTGTCAGTCTAGGAAAAGGGGGGTGTTGGATGTACTATCAGATTTACATACACTAACAATTTGAAGCCAAGCTACAATTAATAGCCCCCCCCCCATGCTCAGTCATTCAGACTAGGAGCACTCTAATACAGGAGGTAACCAGGTGACAACAGGGGGAAAGATCCCAATGTTGCCACCACATCTAATGATTGGTAAGCTGCAATATATTACACTTTTGGTCTTGGGTTTAACACCGCTATGCACTAGGGGGTCTAACCAGGCAGCATGGAGAAATAAAAGTCTTTGCGGAGAGGCTGGAAAAGTTAACATAAAGCAGGGCAGAGGCAGAGATTGAAATTCTGGCTTGTAGCCTTTGGATACCACTTCCAAGCAGAGATGCTGTTAGTCCAGGATTCCGCAAGGTCCAACAGAGCCCCCTCCCCCCCAGTTCTTCTTGGTCTAAATAATAAGTAATAATGCTATTGACAAAAATACAAATTGTGCAATGTTGTGATGCACAATGCTTCAGAGGCTTGTAGTTTAGGCTACAGGGAGTGCAGATTCCAGGGAGGAGAGAGAATGTAGCCACAGTGAAAAAGGAATTGGCCCAATTGGCAGAATCAACAAGTAATATAAGCTTCTAAAATTATACCTTTTTAAAAACAAAAAGATAATAACCTTAAGCCACCAGGTAAAAAAAAATATGCCCTTCTCTGCGTACCTTACTGCAAAGGCTAGTTATAGACTGGGATATCTGCTACTTATCTGCACAGCCTTTCGGCTGAATTTGACGTTAGCAGATATTGGATGTCTTCAGCTGCCATTGTGCTTTTGCATGGCGTTCAGTGTGTCCCTGTACCTTTAAAGAGGAGTGGGTCCAGGCAAACCTGCCCTTACTTTACCCACTGCTATATGTGCTCCAACTTGCAGGCTTACCAAACAAAGATAGGGTCACAGAATAGAGAGGAGCCTTGGTGAGGCACTGTGTCTTTCACATAGGTTTGCAAATATGAGCAACTAAACCCTCCGTTTTAACATGGACTGTTATGCCCCGTACACACTTTAAGAAAATTTCGTACGAGGACCGATCATCCGATAATCGGATCGTTAGTACACAGCTTTTGAGAGCTGATCACGACAATTCACACGACAATATCCAAAGGGACAAGCGCAAAAATTTTTCTCGTTCGATACTAGATCATACGATTTTCGTTTAATCAGTACAGAAGTCGTCTGAAAATACAATATAAATACAACGCAATATATGACATCACTTTCAAAATTCTTTTCTTTCATAGGAGAATTTTCGTATCTTTAGTAACCTTTTCACTTTCGATGTGAGACTAGCAGGCGATCGTTCGTCCAATATTCTCATCATGTGTACAGGGCATTAGACCGGCAAATGTTTTATTTTTTTTTGCAGGCTAGCTGGTAAGTTTAATTTGTTTGCAATTAACAAATGCACCTTCAAATTACTGCTGCAAGTTTTCACAACAGAAAAACAAACAATTGTGAAGACCTGGCAACTGCGTACCCTATCCTTTGTGAAACTAAGTCTAGGACCAACAATGTTCTCATGCAGGAAAAATTTCAAGCGAAACTCACTGAGAACGTTCCAAGCTGTTTGGAGGCCATGGGTATCTTGCTACCTCCCTCCCTCTGTTTTTCTCTCCTTCCTTCTCCTACTGCACCCCCCCCCCCCTTTATTTCCTCTCTTTCTCCCTCTCTCCTCTGTTATGACTGTCACATCGGTTTATTGTTCCAACCGATAAATGCCTTCCACTTACTTACAAGAAAAGTATGGGGTGTTTTATTGTATATATATATATATATATATATATATATATATATATATATATATATATATATATATATATAGACAAATCTGTCCCCGCTGCTTCTGAGACTGAGAACTGATTGATCAAAGAATACCGGCTCTCTGCTCTTCCCCATCAGCGCTCACTGGAACGCCAGGCTGAGGAAGAAATGGGGGTGGCTGGCTCAGGCTCTGTTAAGCCAGCTGCCACTCAGGCTTCTGGGCAGATCCCGAACAAATGGTCAGGATCTTTCTAGAGCCTGAGCTGGCTGAGTGAGGTCAGCCGACAGCGGGCCAAAAAAGCTTTGGTCATACTCCTTTGTATTTCAATAGTTTTTATTAGTTTTAATCAGTATAAAACAGAGGCGACAAAACATGCCCCCACAGGGGCTATCAATTGCACCGATAAGGGTCATACTCCTTTAATGCAGACTGTATGTCTCTTGACTGATTTATTTAAATTTTGATGTTTCCAAAGTCCAAATGTAACCCTGGTAATCTTTCTAAAGCTGACCGTAGATTGATCAAAATTCAGCTGGTTCAGCAGGAATTGGCCAAATTTCAAACCATTGATGGGCAGGCTGGCTGTACTGATGTCAATTTATCAATCAACGTTAGTGTAACCAGCCTATCGGGCTTGCTTTGTGAGATTGCTGCAGGTGACTATAGCAGCCAGCAGTGATCATTATATTCTGACGGAGAGGAAACCTCTCACTGCCAGAATACAATAGGGCAGTGGAAGAAATTACTTTGTTGATGGAGGAAAGTGAGCAATTTTCTTTCCTTCAATCCTCAGTTGCAGGAAAGAAAATTGCATAATACATGGCTTGCCTGTTTCATTGTAACTTAAAATCAAAGATGCTAAACAACATATGAGATTTTAGCTTGTGACCACAGATACGATATACTCACACTGCGCACTCTCTTATCAGCTTTCTGTTTAAGCTGCTCCACCTGGCAAAACAAAAAGGCACAGCAATGAGTCACTTTGTATATACAAAAGTTTTCAAAAATGAAATCTTGATCGTCTACTGTGGCTAAGCTGTACAGCATAAGAGCAAGTTCTCACCTTTGCAGTTTAGGTGTGGTGCTTTTCATGAACATTGTGGTTTACACCCCGGTCACACCAAACCCGACTTTGAAATCGTGTGACTTACAGTGAAGTTGCACGATTTCAAATCGGATGACATGCCGATTTCAGGTGCGATTTGCCACGCAGATGTCTAAGCAAATCGCACCAAAAGTAGTGCATGCAGTCGAAACTGCACCGATATGACCGCTGTAATTGCAGACAATAGGGTGAGACTTGGCATGCGATTTGCAAATCACATGGCATGCAAATCGCATGCCAATTCACATCCAGTGTGACTGGGGACTTAAGGTGTGTTTAGCAAATGTTACCCATTGAACTCTATGCAAACAACATTTGATCAAAGTGGATCAAAGATGCAGCACGCAGGACATTTTTATACCTCACTGCACCCAACGCACTGTTGTTAATGGACCCTACAATACATTTCTGTCAGACATCCAGAAGTGAATATTTTGCAAGCTGAACACAGAGACCTGAGGAGCATTCAAAGAAACAGTGCAGGAACTTGGGGAATACATGGTTTGATATGTCATGCTATGCCATCTATTTCCTAATTACAGTATTTACGGGTCTCTGAAATAGATTGTTGTAACGTGCAGGGCATACAAAACCGTTCATATACTCTGCACCAGAAGAGCTTCTTCCTCTTAAAGTCATGTAATAATAGTTTATATAGCTCTGGCATATTCCACAATACTGTGCAGAGAACGCCAAGCCCTTCGCATTAGAAGAGCTTAAAAACTCTAATTTCCCACTGCAGGCACACTAGAACTATTACACTGTTCAACAGGTAAAAAGTTTTGGGCATAAAATTAGCTAATCTTACATAATTTTGGGGTGCTGAAAACGAAAATGACCCTAAAAAATGTTGATTGGCTCTAGTTTCCATGATATATTCACCCATCTAATGACGTAAGCCATTCAAAATTATGATGCAACTTCAGCTGCATATTGCGCAATTGATACTGGTGACCAATAGAAAATTGCATGTATACTGAGATGATGCAATATTAGCCTTTAATTGCATCACTTCACTGCATAAAAGCTGCAGTATCTGTAGCTGATTGTAGTTCGACAGCGTCTTTACATTTCGTTTTATGCTTATATAGGCTACTCAGTAATGCCTCGAACTTGTGTGAATAAAGCAGATAATTTCTGCTATATCTGCGGTGAAATAACTTTTATCTCACAAAAAAGGAGGATAACAGGAATGATTAAGAAAGCCTACAACTTGTATTTTGGCTGCAAGATAGGAGACCAGGACAAGAGCTGGGCACCACATATATGCTGCAATTCTTGTGGGACGGCACTGGAGCAATGGTTGAATGGAAAAAAGGCATCTATGCCTTTCGCTGTGCCAATGATTTGGAGAGAGCCAACAGATCATGTTAGTAATTGTTACTTTTGTATGGTGCCTCCAATTGTAAAAGGGCTAAATAAGAAGAAAAAGTTATCTGTGCACTATCCAAATATTCCATCGGCAATACGTCCAGTTCCTCATGGAGAGGGGCTACCAATTCCTAAAGCACCAGAATCCTTCGTGGTTGAGTCAAGTGAGGAAGAACCTGAAGCGTGTAGTCACGTGCAGTTGTAAGAGATAGCCCTTTCCTCGAATACAAGAGAAAAGCCAAGAGAAGCAAAACCGACACAAACTGAAGACAAAACTAGTGAGAATCCTAAGTATTAAAATGATTCAACTTAGCTTATGGCTATAATTTTTCTTGGTAATCCTATGCAATATATTATGCCATTTAGGCTTTGTTATGTAGTCAATATCACTTGCTTTATATTTGTAGAAAGACATCTATCATATAATTATTGTGCATTATGTAGTCATTACGCCTATAGTAGAAAACTTTCCGTTTACAGAAAAACTAGAGCCAATTGACAAATTTCATTGTTATATTTGAACTCAGAATGTGAAATTCATTAAGAAATGGATCCTTTTGTTTCCAAAACTGGCAAAAAATAAAAATTTGTTGAACAGTGTTATTATTAGAATACATTTATAGCACTGACATCTTCTGCTGTATTGTACAGAAAACACCGAGACATTCACATCAGTCTCTTCGCCAGAGGTGCTTACACTCTAAAGGGTTTGTTCACACCATGGTGCAGACGCGTCAGTTTATCTGCACGCATTTTGCAAGGCACAATGAAATCAATTGTTCTCCATGTGCCCTGTTCACACCACAACACTAGTATCGCATACAGATTTTTTTCTGCGCAGAAATCTGCAACACGTATAAAACTCATTGAGGCGTGCATGAAAACTGATGTCTCTACAAGTGAAATCTGTGCATCAGTTTCCATCAATTTTCATGCACGCATGGTGTGAACGAGGCCTAAAGATGGGTACACATGGGCCAAAAAGTGGCTGAAAATAGTCAGTTCGGCAGGACTTGGCCGACTTTCAACCCGTGTGTATAGCTTCTTGACAAACAAAAGCCAGTCTGACAAATTGGCATGCTGGAAAACCAGCACTGGATCAGAGATCAGCCAATGGCTGCAAACGCTGATCTGTGTGTGCCCCTATCAAAACACAACAGCTCAACAGGGAAGATTGCCACACTAACCTCGCTTGTGTTAGTACTGTGATCTGTATTTATTTTTGTTCAGCCTGCTGGAGTGAGAACCCCCCCCCTCCCTCCAGGAAAACACACACCTTGTAGTGTGTTCCACACACAGTCACATGCTATAATCAAACATTTATAAAGAAAGTTTATAAAACACACAAACAAGGTTATTTATTACATTATAAAAAATTCACATTTGTTTAAAATGATGACAGATTTTTTTCTGCGCAGAAATCTGCAACCCGTATAAAACTCATGCGTGCATGAAAGCTGATGTAAACTGATGTCTCTACAAGTGAAATCTGTGCATCAGTTTACATCAATTTTCATGCACGTATGGTGTGAACGAGGCCTAAAGATGGGTACACATGGGCCAAAAATTGGCTGAAAATAGTCAGTTCGGCAGGACTTGGCCGACTTTCAACCCGTCTGTATAGCTCCCTGACAAACAAAAGCCGCTCTCACAAATTGGCATGCTGGAAAACCAGCACTGGATCAGAGATCAGCCAATGGCTGCAAACGCTGATCTGTGTGTGCCCCTATCAAAACACAACAGCTCAACAGGGAAGATTGCCACACTAACCTCGCTTGTGTTAGTACTGTGATCTGTATTTATTTTTTGTTCAGCCTGCTGGAGTGAGAACACCCCCCCCCCCTCCCTCCCTCCAGAAAAACACACACCTTGTAGTGTGTGCCACACACAGTCACATGCTATAATCAAACATTTATAAAGAAAGTTTATAAAACACACAAACAAGGTTATTTATTACATTATAAAAAATTCACATTTGGTTAAAATGATGACAGATTCTCTTTAAGCTTTACAAACGAATGAGATTTTTACTAACTCATGTAAATGAATGCACAGATGACTGCTTAATGCCGGCACTAAACAGAGGAGGGACAGATATAATCCGAATGGAGTGCGTCAGCCTAGTGTCTTGCTAAGCTAGTGGCACAGACAAGTTTGCACCAGTTGCAAATGAGCTCTTACCGTCAAATCATATGGACGACAGCCTTCCCGCAGTGACCACACTATGCCGTCCCCCTCCGGAGAGCCGGACCAGGTAAAGACTTGGCGAAAGTTCCGCCAGCGGCTGCCCAGGTCGTAAGGGAAAAGAAATTTCTCTCCAGTCTGGTAATACTGAATTCTGTCCTTTGCCTGCACACACAAAGTACTACCTTATCAAAATATTCCATAGAACTAATAGCTATTGCTTAAAAAGACCAGATGCTACAAACTACAAATGAACTTAGTAAAGCAAGAGAACATTTGGGAGACAGGGACACAGCACAATCACCCTCTAACAGGAGATTCCTGAATTAGAACCTTCATGTAAAGAAAGCTGCAAATTTATCCTTTTTTTCCCCCTTGTTCTGACCAAACCAAATCAGACTTAACCTAACCCACTCTTCCACCTCCACAGATGTACTGTTTACTCATCCCCAGCCAGTGGCTGCAGCTATGCTGTTCATTTACATTCAGCACTGCAAGTCTTCACTGTCCTGGCAGTGCCTGAGCATTACAGCCACATACACTTCTATACAGGGGCAGACTGACCATTTGAGCACTCTGGCACTGCCCGAGGGCCCGGGGTCAGCAGGGGGCCCCATGAGATGCCCCTGGTACGTTTCACAGGCTGTTTTGGGTGTGGGTGAGAACACATGGGCCCCATGATCCCCTATTGCCTTGGGGCCCCATGTGTTGTCAGTCCGCTCCTGCTTCTATATGACCATCTCCGATCTCAGTATACAGCTCTTTAAAAGTCTGTGGCAGCAATGAACAGTAAGATGTGCACCAATGGATGAAGCATTGAACAGTGGCTGTTGGATCGAGGTATGCATGCATCTGTGGAGGGGGAGAGAGGATTAATTTACATTACGGGGATGGGGACAAGAAGGATAAATGCACTTCACACGGGCAAACTACACTGTATGCCCATGCAAGAGCTGTGTTTGGCCGCAAAAGGGATGCACATGTGTTTCTTTTACATGCCTGTTTAAAGCAGTCCCATTCATGTCAATTGGGATGCAGCAGATGCATGGACACAGTCACTGCTTCCAATCTGACATCCGTGTGGGTGCACAGCCCTGAACGCAGGCAGTGTGCATTTGGCTCCATGCACCTGCGCAGATGACAAATTGGAAGCAGATACTGTGTGTCTGTGCAGGCGCTGTTTCCTAATTGACATGAATGGAACTGCCTTGCACATGCTCCTTGCATGCATGGAACACATGCTCCTTGCACAGGTGTATGCCGTCGTACACCCATGTGAACAAAACCTTACCCTAGGTTCACATCTGTGTGGGTGGTGCCGCTGCGGATCCCACACGAAAATCCGTGCAGCAGCACCGCCCGCACAGAGAAATGCGGACCAGCGGGCGGGTGCCATTAGTTTTAATGGCACGCCGCCTGCACTGAAAAACGCAACCGTACTGGGAACCGAAGTTCCCGCGCAGGCTGCGTTTTCCAAAGAAGTGCAGGGACTTCTTCCCTGCGTGTCACGGGCACGAGAGTCCATTCAAATGAATGGGCTCTCGTGCCCGAGCAAAATGTGGCCGCACGGCCGCATAGATGTGAACCGGGAGTTAAAGTGCACTCATCCTTAAATACTGAAGTAAACTTTGAAATTTCAATAACATATTAAAGATTATATAACATTTCAGTGATTGGGTTTACATCCACCTTTAAAAAAAGGTACATAAGGATGTCTGGAACTCACTACCCCAATCCATCAGACTGTCACCTACCCTCCTCACCTTTAGGCACACCCTGAAAACCCATCTCTTTAGGGAAGCCTACCCTGTCCTCACCTAACAGCCAATCTCCTCCACTCCTCCTACCACTCCATCCCTCACAGCCATTTCCTCCTGTACCACTATCCCCTCCCTCCTAGATTGTAAGCTCCAAGGAGAAGGGCCCTCGAACCCCTCGTGTATTGTATTGTTACTGTATTGTCTCATGTACTGTCCCCCACTATAATGTACAGCGCTGAGCAAACTTTTTGGCGCTATATAAATCCTGTATAATAATAATAATAATAATAATAATAATGTCCGTAGGAAAAAAAAATGTATATTATATACACACACACACACACACACACAGAATATAAGGTGTGTGTGTGTAAAAATAATAAATATATAAATAATAAATATATAAATAATAAATATATACATATACTATATATAATGTTTATTCTAGTTTGCCTAGATTGAATTGCAATCCTCCATAAAGCGAAGGTCTGTTTATCAGCCAGAAATTCATACTGAATAAAGCAAAGCATGACCTCGATTTAAGCACTCGGTGAAATATGAATAAACTATGAAAACAACTGTGTTTTTCTTACAGGTCTCCGAAGAGCATTACAGAGGGACAGGATCCACTTATCACAGGTTTACAGAGGTGGAACACTGACAACAGACACGCATACCTTCTCTTCTATCCACGCTTCAATGGAGGTTTTATTCCGCAAAATCACTTTCATCTTGAACAGACGAGAAATAACACATCAGAACGGCTGGGTGCACAGTGTGTATCACAATTTACTTTTCATTATAGAGCAAAAATGTGTTTTGACGGACCGTCAGTCAGCCGCGCGCACAATGCCCACCTGGCGAGAGCCTAATGCATCCGGGTAGAAGTGTGGCTTTGTGCGCGACGCGTACAATCTTCTCAGCATGACCGCTACCTTTTGTATATTATGTAAGCGGCATTTAGAAGAAAAAAAACAAATCAGTTGTGCCATAATAAAACCTGCAATTACCAATGGAGCCAGTCATAAAACAGCACCAGGGAGATTGTGTGTGTAATGCAATCTAATGACATGTTTTTGTTCGCTATTGTGTAATATGTTTAAATAGCAACAAAGTGAACGACAACACAGTTGCATCTATAACAGCAAAGCTCACACGATTTGTTTAAAGCTGTGCTCATATTTTGCTTTCTCTGGTTCATCTTTTCCCCCTGATAAACATGCTGATGAAATGTATAAATTAAATCCATTCTTATATTAAATCTAGTGAAATCATCTAGGTCTCAGTGTCTCTCTATGCAATGCAAGCAGATCATGGCTGGTGGGAGGAGCTGGCTCAATACTCCTCTCAATAGCCCTCAGCCCAGATGCAAGCCGTGGGTGGGTGGGTGCTTGGGAGGAGTTATGCAAATATCAAAATGCCTTAATGGGTGGATGCCAGTCAGGAGAAGTTAGCATACCTAGGAAAACCTATTTGCATAGAAACCGCCCTAGGTAACACCCACACGTGATGCTGAGCCTCCATGATAGAAAGAACTGGAATCCAATGAATGAAAGGGGCAGGGTAGCGACAGTCAGATGGGGCAGGAAAGTGCTAGATGATGCTGGATGTCCTCAGCCAACAAACGAGGTGGGCTCTATGTGACTTTGTGCAGCTTCTAATGCGAGAAGTTCACAATGTGCAGAGAAATCAGAGTAAGCAGTTTCGGTACAGGAGAGAAGTCTGCACAACTGTGCAAGACTGAAGGGAAAGCTAAAGTTCCGATTTAATTTTCTGCACTTGCAGAATCTTTAAGAGAGGCAAAATATGGAGGACTGTGCGTGTATTGCAGAGATGATCAGTGGGGTGGATAGGGGACATATTTATTTAAAAATAATCAAAGTGAAATTTGCACATGTTCAAGCAACCGATTACATGAAGAATAAAGTGTTTTCTTTACCAAATTTACCTACAAAATGAACAGATGCCTGTAGTACACACTGCTAGATCACCATGCTTCACCTCACTGGTCTCCAAACTGCGGGCCTTTGCTTTTATCCGGCCCTTGGGGCATTATTCCCCCCACCATCAGCAACAGTGGGGCACAGTTCCGCCACTGACACCAACAAAGGGGCACTATTCCTCCCACCGAAACCAATGATAGGGCACTATTCTTCCCACCGACACCAATGATGGGACACTAATCCTCCCACCGACACCAACGATGGGCCACTATTCTTCCCACCGACGCCAACGATGGGACACTAATCCTCCCACCGACGCCAACGATGGGACACTATTCCTCCCACCGACTATTCCTCCCACCGACGAATGGGGCCAACGATGGGACACTATTCCTCCCACCGACGCCAACGATGGGACACTATTCCTCCCACCGACGCCAACGATGGGACACTATTCCTCCCACCGACGCCAACGATGGGACACTATTCCTCCCACCGACGCCAACGATGGGACACTATTCCTCCCACCGACGCCAACGATGGGACACTATTCCTCCCACCGACGCCAACGATGGGACACTATTCCTCCCACCGACGCCAACGATGGGACACTATTCCTCCCACCGACGCCAACGATGGGACACTATTCCTCCCACCGACGCCAACGATGGGACACTATTCCTCCCACCGACGCCAACGATGGGACACTATTCCTCCCACCGACGCCAACGATGGGACACTATTCCTCCCACCGACGCCAACGATGGGACACTATTCCTCCCACCGACGCCAACGATGGGACACTATTCCTCCCACCGACGCCAACGATGGGACACTATTCCTCCCACCGACGCCAACGATGGGACACTATTCCTCTATTCCTCCCACCCGACGCCAACGATGGGACACTATTCCTCCCACCGACGCCAACGATGGGACACTATTCCTCCCACCGACGCCAACGATGGGACACTATTCCTCCCACCGACGCCAACGATGGGACACTATTCCTCCCACCGACGCCAACGATGGGACACTATTCCTCCCCCACCGACGCCAACGATGGGACACTATTCCTCCCACCGACGCCAACGATGGGACACTATTCCTCCCACCGACGCCAACGATGGGACACTATTCCTCCCACCGACGCCAACAATGGGACACTATTCCTCCCACTGACGCCAACAATGGGACACTATTCCTCCCACTGACGCCAACAATGGGGCACTATTCCTCCCACTGACGCCAACAATGGGGCACGATTCCTATTCCTCCCCACCGACGCCAACAATGGGGCAATATTCCTCCCACCGACGCCAACAATGGGGCAATATTCCTCCCACTGACGCCAACAATGGGACACTATTCCTCCCACTGACGCCAACAATGGGACACTATTCCTCCCACTGACGCCAACAATGGGACACTATTCCTCCCACTGACGCCAACAATGGGGCATGATTCCTCCCACTGACGCCAACAATGGGGCAATATTCCTCCCACTGACACCTACAATGGGACACTATTCCTCCCACTGACGCCAACAATGGGACACTATTCCTCCCACTGACGCCAACAATGGGACATTATGGGGCAATTTTCCTCCCACTGACGCCAACAATGGGACACTATTCCTCCCACTGACGCCAACAATGGGACACTATTCCTCCCACTGACGCCAACAATGGGGCACTATTCCTCCCACTGACGCCAACAATGGGACACTATTCCTTCCACTGATGCCAACAATGGGGCACTATTCCTCCCACTGACGCCAACAATGGGGCACTATTCCTCCCACTGACGCCAACAATGGGACACTATTCATCCCACTGACACCAACAATGGGGGCACTATTCTTCCACTGATGCCAACAATGGGACACTATTCCTTCCCACTGACACCTACAATGGGAAACTATTCCTCCGATTGATACCAGTGATGGCGCACTATATCTCTTGTTACTATCAATGATGAGGCATTGTTTACTCCCACTGATGCTAGGACATTTTCTTCTCCCACTGGCCACAGTCTGGCCCCCCTAAAGTCTGAAACACAGTAAACCGGCCCTTCATTAATTACGTCTGGAGACCTCTGCTGTAGTAGATCTACCCCAAATAACATTGACGCAAAAAATGTCAAGTTGCACAAGGCACAGATTACTGAGGAAAATGTCAGACACGCACAACATCAGCACCTACCCCCCTAGGACCTACCTGGATGCAGAAGAGCATTCCAACCGCAATAGTTGTACCGAGCGCCAGTCCTAAGGCAAACAGTGTCACTGCAAAGGCAGAAATACCAAAAGGTACGATGGGAGCCGGCTCCCGCCGCGAAACACTCATATCAATCTTTACAGAATTCCATCCAAATGATATCTGGGGGAAAAAAAACAAACAAAAAGTGTTAAAAGGATAAATGCACCTTAAAACAGACTGCATGTGCCTTTTTCGCCCCCTTCAGTGGACCTAAACTTCCCCCACCACAGATGCAAACTTACTTTATCGTGATGGCCAATGGTTCTGATATTTACTCACATCCAGCAGTGAAAGTCTTCAATGTCCTGGCAGCGCCTACCCATTACAGCCCCACAGACGTCTATAGAACCATCTTCGGCCTCGGGACACAGCCACATAGAAGTCTATGGTGCACTAATATGTAAGTGTGAACAGGACAGTGAAGACTTGCACTGTAAACAAGTAGAGGAACCACATCCGGCAGATGGAGGTAAATATGCAACTGTGGAGGGGGGGGTTTAGGTTAGGTCAGGTAAAGAAGGCAGAAAAAAACAAAAAAAAAACATTTTGTTTTAAAATGCACTTCTACTTCAAAATGCCAACTAAAAAGTTTGATTTATGGCCAGTAATTAACACAGTGAGCATTGCTACAATGATATTGCAGCTGAGCTGTAGGCAAACATCTGAATACATATACTGTAAAAGGAGCCAATTTATCTGCTAATGGATTTGTATTTGTCCTTCCAGTGTTGAGAATTACACAGCTCTGTCACACAGCACAACCCTGTAACACAGGTCTCTTCCCTCCCCCAGCTTGTGATTGGACACTGAAAGTAGAAGCAGCAGACTGCTAAGCTCATCTCTGTCAATCTGCTCTCTCCTCTTATTAGCTCCTCCCTTGTTACCACATAAATGCTGTCCAGCTCCTTGCACTGCATCTCCCTCTCCTAGTCTGAGCTCTGCTGTGCCAGGACTACAAGAGGCTGATAAGTCAAATTCAGGTACCTACATGGTCTACCCCATGTTGACACTATATATTCATTAAAAGTATGCTGTATGCAGTTGGCCCTTTGGAATACTGGGGGATCCACTGGAGACCACTGTGATGTCATTTTGTTTGGAGGGATGGCAGCATGCACAGGTTGGTGATGCAGCACCTCCTACACAAAGGAGCAAGAATTTCCTTATTGTTGGGAGAGAACTTTTATTATGAGTGTCTGATAATTTGATTAAGTCTTGAGCTTTATCTGTGTTGCTTCTACTTCCCTGGGTTTTTCCTTCCCTGGCGCAAGCATTGGGCCGAGGACGTGCTACGGGGGTGTGTGGGGGCAGAGGACATGCTACGGAGGAGCCTGGAAACCCAGGATGTGCTGGGGGGGGGGGCCTGGGGGGCCGAGCACGCGCAACGGGGGCACCTGGGGGCCGAGCACGCGCAACGGGGGCACCTGGGGGCCGAGCACGCGCAACGGGGGCACCTAGGTGGACATGCAACAGGGGCGCTTGGAGGCCCACTACAAGCAACAGGGGCGCTTGGAGGCCCACTACAAGCAACAGGGGCGCTTGGAGGCCCACTACAAGCAACAGGGGCGCTTGGAGGCCCACTACAAGCAACAGGGGCGCTTGGAGGCCCACTACAAGCAACAGGGGCGCTTGGAGGCCCACTACAAGCAACAGGGGCGCTTGGAGGCCCACTACAAGCAACAGGGGCGCTTGGAGGCCCACTACAAGCAACAGGGGCGCTTGGAGGCCCACTACAAGCAACAGGGGCGCTTGGAGGCCCAGTACATGCAACAGGGGAGCTTGGAGGCCAAGTACATGCAACAGGGGAGCTTGGAGGTCCAGTACAAGCAACAGGGGAGCTTGGAGGCCCAGTACAAGCAACAAGGGAGCTTGGAGGCCCAGTACAAGCAACAAGGGAGCTTGGAGGCCCAGTACAAGCAACAGGGGAGCTTGGAGGCCCAGTACAAGCAACAGGGGAGCTTGGAGGTCCAGTACAAGCAACAAGGGAGCTTGGAGGTCCAGTACAAGCAACAAGGGAGCTTGGAGGTCCAGTACAAGCAACAGGGGTGCTTGGAGGTCCAGTACAAGCAACAGGGTGCTTGGAGGTCCAGTACAAGCAACAGGGGTGCTTGGAGGTCCAGTACAAGCAACAGGGATGATTGGAGGCTGAGGAAATGCTATTGGGGTTCCTTGAGACCAAGCACATGCTACACTGATAGAAATCACTACCGGTTTGGCCCATTTACAAAACAATAGTCACACATTTGTCCTTTCTATAGTACCCATAGAATTTCTGTCCCCACATTGGATCTTCCTCTCAGGTCAGTCTTACCCGGTTGTAGAGCTGAGTGTACATAGTCATGATGAAGATGTAAGAAGCATGAATACAGCCCAAAGGGGCCAAGAGCAGGAATAGGGTGAACGATGAGTGATTGCGATGGCCACAACAGTTATTGATCCAGGGGCAATGATGATCCATCTTCATCACACACCTGTGATACAAAACACGACAAAAATATCACAGCATAGCCATCAAGTACTGTGCAGTGTCATGAATCTCCTTGTGAGTGGGGATTCTGGACAAAAACTAACTATTGGAAGGTTTTCTTTATTGGACATTACAAAGTGCTCTATACAAGTCAATCTCTCACTGCGATTTGATGCGTGGAGTAGACCATTTTTTTGTCAGCGGGAAAAGGCAACATCAAATCGCTGTCAACTGACAGTCATCAACAGCTGGGAATTGCTGTTTTTTGGCTCTGAGCAACTACTGCGACAGTGGCTGTGACAGACTAATTGGTTACAACAAATATGCATCTTCAAATGCTCAATTTCAAGCCCGAATCCAGTAAAGAGCAGAATTCCCTCTTGAGGTCTCATATCCCACCTCACCAAGGCAACGTTCTACCATTACTGAACTCTAAAAGCTGAACTGCAGGCAAAAAGCCAAATACAGAAATGAAAACATATAAATAAGCTGTTTTACTTGTCAAAAGATTAGCATTTGCCCATCCAGTCCTGAAATTTACACAGGTCTGCCACAAACTACAGTCCTGTCTGGCAGGAGACCTTATTTTTCTTGTCCTTCCCACAACCTGCCACTGGACAATGAAAAGGAGAAGCAGCACAGATGAGCTCATCGCTGTCACACTCTTCTCTCCTCCTATCAGCATGTTTGTTAGCACATTTTTCAGTGTGCCTTGCATTTTCAGTGTGCTTGCATGGCTTCTTGTGCTGCTTCTCCCTCTCCCAGTCTGAGTTCTGTTGTATGCTACAGTAACTCCAAGAGGTTCATTTGCCTGTCGTTCTGTTTTAAA